CAACAGTGTTGCCTATCAAAAATATATTAATAAAATGTATTTAATTAATGTAAACAATAAAGAATTGTTAAACTATTATGAATAATTGCTATTCACCACAAGCTAAAGCTGGTGCAATTTTATTGGCCATAAGACAAATAGGAAAGTTCCAGGGAACGATTGCGCCGCAAACACCAATTGGTTCATGTCGAGTATAGCAAAATTTATTATTTTGCGTTTCAATTACCTTTCAAATGTATTGAAAAAAAATATTAATTCTAAGCCTAAACATACATTTCACAAAAAAGCCACAACCTTGCCATGAATCCTATCACACCAGCCGGCGAAATATCGGTAACAGCTAATGGCTTCCGGAAGATCAACCATCTTTGTAATACTAAAAGCTTTCCCATTGTCCAGAGCTTCTAGAGCGGCCAAATCATCCAAGTCACGTTCCATAAGATCAGCAAGTTTATTCAATAGTTTTCCACGTTCTCTTCCATCAACATGACACCAAACATTGTAAAATGCTCTGGTAGCAGCCTCTACTGCTAAATCTACATCTCTTGAAGAAGCTTCTGCTATGGTAGTAATTACCTCTTCGGTGGTTGGATCGACGGTTCCGAAGCGCTTACCATCGACTGAATCGACGAAGTCATTGTCTATGAAAAGACCAGTTTGGACTATTTATTTTTTTTAAAAAAAACCACTATAAGTAAGTTCTTTGCTCAACCAAACACAATAATGAAGATTATAAGAAATAATGTTACTTTGAATAGTCTTGCCAGTCGGCAAAATAAGCTTTTGTTCGTTAGAACTACCCATTTGGTACGATAATTAAGCTTTGAGATGATTAATAAGAATTTTCGCACGAAGTTCTTAACTTTTGTCATAACTTACAACATTATCGTAACGTAATGATAAATTGATGTCAAAATGTAATCATTCTTTTGTCATCCATAATATAAATGTGCGTCAAATTGATATTTTGCGTCAGATTAAAATCAATTCTTACCCTAACATAGGCTTTCATCCTAACCCTAATAAAAAATTCAGTATTTAAGTTCTAATTTGATGTACATCATAATATCAAACTTTGAATCAAATGTCATGAACTATTCATTTAGAAAAATACGACTTACACATGAAACTAGTATCGCCCACAAAAATATGTATCTTACGTCATAGTTAAAGCTTTAACGATGAATTATGCATGGTAATTTTATTTTATTACTAAAAAAAAAGCGGTTCTGAGTTTGAATTATGACGTAAGCTACATTTTTTTGTGGGTGAAAATCCCTATATAAGGGAGATGGGGTATTGTGATCACCTTTAATATTATAACATTAGAATTGTTTATTAAGATGAACCAAATTATTTAATTTTTTTGTTAACTGAATCAAAAAAATTAATAAATTGGATAGTGGGGGTATTGTATTCAATTTTTTGGAAGTGGATAACTTTTAATCCACCAGTCCGTTTTGGATGATTTTAACACTAAAATTACCAACTAAGCGAGACAATTCTAATGAGTCCCAAATCGTTAAAAATCTAATCATAGGGTCCCGAGATCGTTAAGGATTTATATATTAATTTATTGACAAATCTATATCGATCTCTGGATTCCGTGATTGGATTTTAACGATTTTATACTCGTTAAGAATCGTCTTATTGAGACGGTCATTTTGGTGTTAAAATTATCCAAAATGGGTTGGTATATCAAAAGTTATTTAGTTTCAAATATTACATATATATTTTTTTAATAAGTTTCCATTATACCAATAGATTTGTCTTTAAAAGATGAATTAAATAATATGAAAATTATTCAATTCTGATCATTAGATCCCAAGATATTAAGAATTTATTCTATATTATTTTTTTTAAAAAAATAAGGAGTTTGGTTTGTTTTTTATTATAGGTATATTAGAATACTGTAGACTACTTTATTTATAGTCTAAATTTACTAGAGTTTTTTTATTTCTTATTTATATATTAGGTAAATTTGAATTTTGTTTGATGATTAACTATATTTAATTATTTATATATTTTTTATATTTTACAACCTGTATAAACAATTTTTAAATTGGTTCTTATCAGATAATTATTTTTTATAAATTTTAATTAGATATGTTAAAGATAAGTTTTTTTAGTTTATATCTCAAGTTAAAACTTTTTGTTTATTTAAGTTTTTATATAAAAGTGTTAGTATTTTATTATTAAATAAGTTTTTTATTTATACTATTAACTTATATTTTAAGTAAAAGTTTGTTAATTTTAAAGTTTAATATTATATTTTAAAAATTTAGTTATAAATTTTTAGCTATTTATTTTTCTTTATTTTTTGTAATCTTGTTTTATTATTTAAATCATAAATATTAGAAATTTATATTTATATTAAATATATTTTTTTATATCATATTTTTGTATTAATAAAGATTTATTTAGCATTAAAGCCTAGATGTGATTTGTTTAAGTAGTTAATTTGTTTCATGTTAGATTTTTAACTTTCTAAAGATTTAGTTTTTTCAATCACTAGCTAGGTGTTTTTAACTTTGTCAGAAATTATTAATTTTTTTGTAAGATTAGCTTAAGAGAACCAATTAGATTTAATATAATACTTGATTAGATTTTAGTTTTTTTTGTATTAATAAGTTTAGAATTTGCTTTTTTTTTTTTAGATTTATTTTCTTTTTCTTTTTTTGTAATTTTATTTTTTTTATTTTTAGATTTTTGTATTATTTTCTTTTTTTTTGGCTGTTTTGCTTCGTCGGGTTTATCAAATTTTAACGATTTGATTGGTTAGTTATTACGTCATCTGCCCGCTTTAAGGAATCCCCATATCACATAATTCATAGTTCGAGTGAGCTGATCAATAAATATATTGTTTGATATCCAATTATCGAAATCGTTTTTTAAAACCTGAAGTATAGAAATTGCATTATAGGGTCTGTAATAGGGTTGGAAAATAATTTTTACTACGTAATTAAAAACAGGTTTTTAAGATATTTAAAAAGAAATTTAACTATTCGGACTTTTAATCACCACCTGTTTTAAATCAGTGAAAAAGTGTGTTTAAACCTTTTCTTCATCCTTAGTCTGTATTTTGTTTGCGTGATCACTGTCACAATTACGGTAATAAATATTATAACTTGCACTAATCGTTGGTGGGAAATCAAAAAAAATGTGCCGGCCTATGCAGAGATGTGAGGTCCCTATTTAAATCTATAACATCTACTAAAATCCACATATATTC